GAATCCCCAGTGGAGACGGCAGACGGTTAAGCAGGTGGCAGCCCTGGTGTCTCATGCGTAGCTGGCACTGTGACAGCATTTTCTCTGCTTATGTTAGGCTGCTACAAATTTTCAGCAGAGTTTGTTGTCCTTTCATTTTATTAGCCTTTCTGGGATTGGGGGCAAGTAACTGCTTGGGTTGGGATTTCTAGCTCTTTATTTCAGGCAGGTTGTTAAGCGTACAATTTAATTTTGATAAACAAATGAAGGGGGTGGGGGGAGCCTTCCTCCTTCATTTTGAAGACACATCTCTTTTTTCTGTTCTTGTTAGGCTGTGTCCCCATTTGAGTTTCCCAAAACCCCAAGTTCCCAGAATCTCCTCACCCTCTTGGCCCATCAGGGGGTCATGATGACTCCGACACGGAACAAGACCTTGCCAGATCTGAAGGAGATGGGTCATTTCCACTGCCAGCAAACTGGCTTGGGATTGAGGCCTGTGGAAGAGATCAAGGGCAGGTGAGCTGTAGTCTGCTTTATACAGTGGTGCTTCATTCCCTGTTACGGGACAGATGGGGCAAATTTCAACCCCCAACTAACGTTTAAGTTGTAATGTAGCATCTGCAATCATTCTGCAGTTTTCTGCTAGCACCCTTGGTTTACAAGCAGATATGATGCAGATGTTTAAATTGTTCCTCTGCAGGGGCAGGCCACGGCCTAGATTTTATCAAATGAAAGATTGTCTGCAGCTTCTCAGTATGTTTAGTGTCCAGGGTTTCATCAAGTGGGGACCAAGGGATTTTGTTACTAGACCAGACTCCCTGCAATTGTGCAGATGCGTGCCTTGCTCTTTGTGGAGCCTGTACCTGTCGTGGATGAGAGGGTGTTGTGGGTGTTCCTTGTCTGTGAAACAGTGAGCACCAGTCTTCAGACCAGAGATCTGGTTGAAAGCCATGTGCTGACTGTCATGAGCACTGCAGGATACAAAGTCGCTCAGATGTATTAGAAACTCAGAAGTTTCTAACATGCCTCTCTGCAGACTCAGATTTCTGCAGTGATCTGGAGGAGTCCTCTGTTACTAATTTCATATCTTCTGTCAAAGAAAAAATGTGTTAGAATAATGCTGCAGTCACTACTTGGATTACTGCAGTTAGTCTTGGTAGTTGTTGAAAGAGTGGTTATTTCAGTTCCAGACTGTTTGCTGTGTAGTGTTAAGTGGTTGTGGACCAGGAATGGCACGAACTGGAGTGGAAGTTAGCTGAAACCTCGTACCTGTTGACTTTCTGCATCATGTTGTATGTCCTCTTTTTAGATCTCTGAGCACAGGCAGGCTCACTGACCTGCTTCTGAAGGCAGCCTTTGGAGCACAGATCTCAGAAGCTGGCAGCAATGACAGCCTGAACAATGAGAAGCCAATGGAAATTGCAGGTAGGTGGGGAGGCCAGGCAGATCTGGCAGGATGTCCTGGGTTGGGACGAACAGTTTGCCTGCATGCCTCCTACAAATGGGAGGCTGCTTTTCTGATGGCTTTTGGCAAAGGAAGCGACTGCCGTGTGTGAGGAGTGTAATGATGTTTGCTTTCTTTTGTGGAGCACTCAAGGTCTGTGGGCTACGCGTGCTGTGTAATTGCTGGCTAGTGGTGTGATTTTTGTAGGCAGGGCTTCCTCTTTCGGCCCCTTCTGAGTGTGATAACGTGTGGAAGTGGGGCCTTTCTGCCAGGCGGCTCAAACGTGAATGGCTCCGCAAGGGTGGGTCTTCCTGGGCTTGCAGGCTGGGAAGCAAGGAGGGGAGAACAGCTGCAGCAATGCGTGATGCTGCCCAGGCTCGTGTCCTGCAGCCCAGGGCAGCCTGGCCTGGTCGTGTTCTCGGGGGATGCCTCCAAAGGCAGCGCTGGCCTGTGCTGGTAACCACTGTCTCCCGGGAGTCTGCAGGAACATAAAACCGCTGGGTGAGGCACACCATGCTCTGAGTAACTTTCCTGTAATGCCAGTCTGCACCTTTCAACTGTCTCCCCAGCTCCCTCAGGTGCTTATGGAGGGACCCTGCACTCTGGTGCCCGGGCTGGGGGCTCTGCCAGCCCATCCCCAGTGATTTTTACTGTCGGATCCCCTCCCAGTGGAACAACCCCCCCACAGACCACGAGGACCAGGATGTTTTCAGGTAAAGGGCTGATACCTACCTGCCTGTTCCAGTGGGAATGCCTGGGGGCAGAGCGATGTGTTGAATTCCGTGCTGCTGAACACTGGTGGTGGCAGAGGGCTGCTCAGAGCACAGTCCATAGAGCTCAGCTGGTCTAAATGCCTTTGAGGTTCTTTTGCTGGCTCCTGCCAACCCCAGTTATTGCTGATAACTGTTTGCACTGGCACAAGGGCAAATGCCATATAGTGGTTTTCCAGTACTGGAAGAGAGAGGCAAACTATTCTTTTACTTCATTTCTTTCTGCTTCAGGAATAATGCTGCAGCTGTTCATAGACCCATTGTTGCTGATAAGTCAACAAACATAAAGACTGTGTTGTTCTGATCGTTTTCCCCATGGCTTTTGGATGAGCTATAAAAGATGAGTGTGACCATCCGTGCCCAACAATTTCCGTGCACAAGTACTGTTAGGAAAGCACTGGGATGGCTCTGTATGCAAAATTATTAGTGGTGTTACTTATGCTCTGAGCTGCTTAAGTAGGAAATGGGGAAATGCACTCCTGCTTGACAGATACTTCTTTCAAGACACTGATGCTCTGGCCTCATCAGTCAACAGTTGAGGCAGTGGTAATTGGCCCTTTTGGGATAGTGCGTCTGGGAGCTGGAGTCTATGTTCAGTTTAAGAAAATATTTGGACACTTTTATTTGCATTTTTGGCTTGTTTGGGTTCTCGTCTTGGCTGTTCCTCATCTGAATGTAGTCAATTCTGTTGTTCTTAATTACTGCAGGGAAGGTTTGGATGTAGCCATGAATAAGCTGCTTGACTGGGATGGGGGGGACACATGGGCTCAGTTCCTGGGCATGGCTTGGATTTCCATCATAACTAAAACCACTCACATCCTTAATTGTCTGGAAAGTTGGGACCATAATCCTGTTTTTGTCTTTTCTGTTTAGAGGTTAAGCTCTGTAGGGCAGAGGCTCTTGCAAAGTATCTGACGGGCCTGTAGCACAACGGGGTTACTATCCCGGCTACAGCCTCTTGCGACTACTGAAATGTTACAAAAAGATAATTCAGACTTCCTGTATTGCTTTTGTGGGGATAATAGCAATTTGTAAGCAGATCCAAGCACCAGTTTTTAGTGGTTTGATATTTGGATGCTTAAGAGTCTGCTGAACAGTCAAGATCTCAGATGGGATGCCTGGAAGAGAAGGCTGTTGAATAGTGAACCGACAACACAAACACAGCGTTAGGTCAAGGTGGTCAAAGTAATGCTGCTTGACAAGCTTCGTTTATTAGGTCTGTGCAGTAACTCCTTACATTACAGTTAATGCACAAAGTTCATGGTGAAAAGGGGAGCTTTGAAAGCTGAAACTTTGCACCCCTAGTGCTTGGACAAGCCATGAGTAAGATCACATGACAGATACAAAGGCAGAGCCTTTTAGTGAGTCATCATAACAATTTCTGCAAACAGCCTCTTGGAATTACAGGGTAGCCAGAATGTGATATTGTTGATCCTTTCTTCTCTCAGAAAGATCTGGAAATACTCTGCCAGTCTTTGATGATCCACTTGGCTTTGAAGCATAGGTGCCAAGAGGGAGAGAGCTTTGAGAGGAGAGGAGATTGTGCCTCTCTGCAGAGCAGTTGTGCATAATATTGCTGAACCATTTGCAGGCAGGGTAAGGCAGCAAATTAAATTCATGGGTAGAAGAGAAACATCCCTCTCCAAAGGATCAGTGACAGTGGAGAACATTGCCTGGGTAGAATTAGCAGTGTTGTAGCTGATACTGGCATCCCCCTGACAGACAGAATATATCCCTGTGTGGCACTGTGTTGGGATATGAAGCCCTCTGGCAGTGGTGAGTGTATTATGAATACTCTGAGACAGAAATTCCTTTTGAAGTGTCCGTCTTTTATATGCAATGTGTTCTTAGGGTTGATTCAGGGCAAAGACGATGGTGAGGGGATTGTCTGATAGACACCATACTTACATGGTCTCCCGAATCCTGAGGTTAGGGTCTTGACTCAGCTGAAGTCACTCTCTGCCCAGCCTCCTGTTTGTAAAGAGTGGGAAGCAGAAGTGCGGGGCATATAATGGAAAGCTCTCCTGGTTTGCATGCAAGTGGTTGATGTTTTAAAGCCATGATAAAAACCTCACTTACCAGAGGTGCTAGTTCAGTGATAGCATAAAAGGTAGGGAACCAGGGTTCAAACCATGCCGATGCATGATGGGGAAGTTGGCTATGGTGGTGTATGATAAAAATCAGCCCAAGATGTCATGTCAGGGTTCAGAAAGTGTTTGGAGAAAAAAAGAAAGAAAAAGTGCTTCTGAATTGTCTCCGTAAATGACAGACATTCTAGAAGGTGTATTAAATCTGCTTGAGCTTGTAAACTGGTCTCTAAGGAGCTTATGTTGGGGAGTGGTTATTCTGGATCAAGAGTCCTTGCATCTTCCTCCAAAGTACCTGTTGCTGGCTCCTATCAGAGCCAGGATCCTGGATCCTACAGGATTGTCCCCTCTGCTGGGCAAGGAATACCTGGCCTACGATTAATATCTTCAGTAATTCCTTTGCCTATTTTTCTTCTCAGTGGGGTCTTCCAGCTCTCTCAGTTCTGGAGGCTCATTCACCGGCAGGCACTTGGCAGTGGGAACTGGTGGGGATGCTGTGGAAGGCCCCTCGAGTCTCCGGTACACTTTTGCTGATCCGATCACTGCCAACCTGGAAGGTGCTGTTACATTTGAGGCACCAGAGTTGCCTGAAGAGACGCTCATGGAGGTGGGTATAACCCAGGGACTTGGTAGGGGCAAAGGACGGGAATAAAGGAAAGCAAATCCAGAGGTCAGATTACTCCATATTTGCAGCCAAGGGGGTTGCTTCCAAAGATGGAACAAACTGGTTTCAAGACAACCAGGCCACTGCAGTGCTCAGAAAGCCCAGAGCATATTTAGCACAGTGACTTTTGAGCCTGCTGTTTAGTTTGAACCAAGCCTTGCTTTGAACCAAAGACAGCCCGTGACAGGGGTTAAAATTCACTATTTCTGAAGCTGAAATTGCAGGTTGGAAATATCAGTTATCTAATCCATTCTGTATTAACAGTGTATGAAGAAAACCTGTGTACTTGGGCCTTTTTCCTTTTAAAAGGCTCAACTTTAGTAGTAGCTGATTTGAGAGCGTGAGTAGCTTAGTGTACCAAAGACTGCCTGCTGCATGCACTTGGGGAGCCAGGCAGTGATACGGCCTCTGCTGAAAGGTCTGGAAAAAAGTAAACCTGAGACTTCTGTTACTGATGGGGGCAGGGGACACCATGTTCTGCACCAGGACAGCTGAACCAGATTGCGGAGCTGACGGGCTGCCAGGCTCCCCTTCTCTGCAGGCTGAAGACAGGCTGAAGCAGAGCAAGTGCTATTGTAGCTGAGATACATTTGAAATGTAGGTCAGGCTGCCCATTTGCAGTAGAGGTGGGAGGCAGCTTCAGTCACGGTTTCAGCTCTGTTCGTGATGCCTCCTTGGGCTGTCTGGGACTGGGGAAGGCTCCTTGTAGCTGAATTTTGCTGGTGTTGCTAAAAACCCCCAGATACCTGCAGAGATATGCATATATTGCTTTAAGGATGTGAGTTTGCTCTTGTACTTCAGCTTTTATTTAGCGCGCTCTTTTTTTGTCAATTATGCATTGAATTGCATTTGTTTGCTTAATTACCTGCAGAGCCACAGGGCTAGGACTTTCAGTATTGATGTGATCGCAATAGTAGTGAGTAGGACTGAGCATCCTACCTCTGTGAGGTCCCAGGTATGGGGCACTGCCACCTGCCACCACTCCAGACGCTGGTCTGAAGAGAAGTGTCCTAAGGAAGTACCAGCTTGATCTTGTTAATACCACTCACTTCAGCTTCTCATATCTGTAAAGTCATTTGGATTCGGTCATCATTTCTGCTGAGCACAGTAATCCATTTGCATATCACAGAACCTTCCTGGCACCAAACCTTTACAGCATATTTTGAGACTCCTTTGTGCCCTGTGGAGTTGGCCAGGATGCAAACCTGGAAGATTTTCTGATTTCTGCAGATACTTCAGGGCACTGAAAACTTGCTATTTAAGCTCCCCTGTTTATCTTGAGCAGAGTTGTTGTGTTCAGAGAGGTGATTCTTCCATCTTTTGAAAAAGTTTCTCTAGGTGCAGACAAGGCAAATTGAAGGCTAGGTTTTAGTTTGTTTTGCATTGCTTTAAAAACTGTGGAAGGAAGGACTCTCGCGGCGCCAAATGACGCCATGAATGCCAGCATAATTAATAGAAGCCAACTGTATAAGCAGAGAGGAAGGCCTGTGCATTAATTGGAGATACCAGGCTGAGGCTTGCAAGATCTCAGCAGTTTCCTGCTGTGCCACAAACTTCTTGTATGACTTAGAAATTACTTAATCTCCCAAGTTCCTCTTCTGCTTTTAAAGAAAATGGAGGAAGATGGAGATAACGCTTCCTTACCGTACTGGACTGTCGAGGTAACAAGGCAGTGGGAGGAGACATCAATGTTTCAGATAGTCAAAGCTGTCTTAGCAGCCAAGTGCCTGAGCCAGTGAATGAAAAACAAAAGCTTGCAGAACTTGAGTCTGGGGTTTTTTTCCAAATTCATGTAGGAAACATCCTTACCAGCCCCCTTTGAGAGAACTGAGCCACTGAATATTTGAAAACCAAGCAGGTTAGCCACCTCTCTGGAGAGAGAGTACAAACAATGGAGTTGCGTCTGATCCAGACAGCAATTCATTTCTAGGACCCACAAGCATTCAGTTTTTCCACAAATACTAACTTCCCAAAAATGTTTTCAGGGACTTAAGCAATGCAGCTTCCCAGAAATGGGATAATCCCCTTTGATCTCTAACAGCAGAGGCAAAACTGCTTTGAAATGAATGTAGCAGTTAGTGTGTGTGCCACTCACCAAGTGGCAAGGAGTTGCAGACAAAAGGCTGTCCTTGCTGTCCCTTCAGAGGACCTCACCCAGGACTCACTACACTGAACTTGGAGGATATAAAGACCAAGGGCTGGGGGCCGGGCTCTAGGGTGGGACACACTGTGTTTGCAGTTTTCTCTGGCGTAGGAGGTTGTCACTCTCATGAAACCCTCACCCGCTTTCAGTTTTGTACCAGCATTGCTGTGGTGGGGACCAGAGCTGAGCCAGATGGTCTCTCCCCCTTCCTGGCTGACTTCTGAAGGAGTCTCTCAGAGCTGGGATGCCCCTTAGGAAGGGGGCATGTAATTTTTTGAGCAAATCTCATCAGCTTCTCCAGGGAGCCACCTGGAAATTTCTGGCCTGGGGCTGTCGCTTGCTGTCGTTACTGTGGAGGAGGAACTGGTGCAGTGTGCGAGCTGGGGACTGAGTTTGGCTGTCCCTGCCCAAAGCAGAGGTGTAGGGGAGTTGGGGGCCTGGGTGTTATTTCTGTAAGCCAGGATGAGTTGCTGGCACAGCGGTAGGTGAGCAGCCTGCCCTTGCGTGCCAGCTTTCCCTCTGTAACACCCACCTTGGTGTCCCTTCAACAGCAAGAGCACACCGACATCCTGCGCAGCCTCCGCTTCACGCTGGCCTTTGTCCACTATGTGATGGAAATCGCTGCCCTTAAAGGCAGCTCCAGTGAGATGAGCAGTTCAGTGACATCCGAGTACCAGCTCCAGGAGAGCGTGGTGGCTGACCAGATCAGCCTCCTCAGCCGGGAGTGGAGGTAAGGACCGGGGAGCCTCCCAGCTCCCAAGTCTTCTGTCACTCTCGCCCCACCGATCCTTAAGTACCAGAAGTCCTTCAGGACACACCTCTCTCCCATCGATCTACTTGCATTGCGTTGTGCTTTCTTTGCAGCTATGCAGAGCAGCTCGTGCTGTATCTGAAAGTAGCAGAGCTTCTGTCCTCGGGGCTGCAGATGGCCATAGAGCAGATCAAAGCGGGCAAGCTGTGCCTCTCCTCCACCGTCAAGCAAGGTAAGGGGCCGCTGGGCACACGGCACAAAGGACTCGCCTGGAATGGGAGTGTTAAAAGTATCACAAAGGGTATGGAGGGGGTTGAGCGAGCGTGAACCCCCACCGGTATGTGCCATGGGGCTTATTTCTTATTGTCCCCTTGCGCAGCCGGGTCTTTTTTTATTCACACTGAGGGGAATGTTCCTCTCTTCACATTGACTTTAGGTCTCAAAACTCCTGCTCTTGCCCCTGTGAGAATCTTCAGCACTAATTAGTGAGAGAGGAATGTATCTTATCTGATTCCTTGTACAGCTTTATCTCAGGTGCTTATTTGTACATGACGTAAGTCCAACTTAATTACACAGTGCATGTCCTAGGAAATGCTTACTTGGCACCTGTCTTGACAGCGATGATTTTTCAAATGAAACAAAAACACAGGAAGTAAAATACTGGTAATGCCAGGGTCACTTCTTTGCTAGTGTTACAGTCTTGCATTTCCATCTGACTGGCTGGCTTGTGATGTGAGCTGGCTGTGATTCAGTGATTAAGATAAATAATTTTAAAACTACCATTGTAATATTACTGAGGGAGCTTTTTGAAGCACTTGAAGTACTTGACCCATCAGCTGCCTTCCCCAAGAGCTTAGGCTTTGAAAGTACTTGTGCTGCCTTGGGGTGGGGTGTAAAAAAAATGGAAGTTAAATACAGTGAGCACACATACGTTGTAGCAGGCAGTATGGAGCAAGGTACATAGGTTTAGCTACACATATTCCACAAGTTCAGGCTAACAGGAAAGTTGTCGTAACCCAAATAAATTACTCCTTTTCAGGGCAGATTGCAACCTCTAGATTTGTAGTGTAATTTGCCCTTCAGTGTGTGGGAATTGGGCAAGGCTGTCTTGTCTTATTTCTCTCCCCACAAAGTCCTGCTCCCTGGAGATTTTCCAGGGCACAGTGAGGACAAGAGTGTTTTCAAGACACTTGTGTCCCAAGTAGATGGAAAAAGCAGGGAAGCACGACAAGACACTGCCCTGGAGTGTCCTTGGGTGCTGTGTGCCAGGCAGGGTCCCTACCCACAGACATCCTTTTTTTCCTGGTAATTTGGGCACAGCTTAGAGCTCTGTTTGAATTTCATGGAGGAGGATATTGCTATATTTGTGTGTTGTTTTGTTTTTTAAATAGTCTCTCTTGACTCTCTTCTCATGGAGTTTTTCATTTCCCCCTCCTGATGTCACCCACGAGCTTCGGGGTTCCCATTCCCTCTGGGAATATGAGAGAGGGTGATCTGACAGTCTGACCCTGACAGGGTTATGTTTTGTGCCTCGGTCCTTTTCTCTGATGATGAGTTACAGCAGCCTTTCTTCCTGGAGGCAGTCCCTTCTCTGGCTCTCTGCTCTCTTATCTCTGGCTGGGAAGGCTAGATTTAGCCGCAGGGCCTGGCTGTCACGTCAGGTTGCCCCTCTGCATGGTATCTGGGAGAGGCTGGTTCATGGTATGGGTTAATTTGCCTCCCCCAGGAGCAAATCATGCAGCGTGGGTATTTCCAGAAATGTGCACGTAGCAGTTAATGCTCGTCAGATGTTGGTGGGAGTTTGTATTCGGTACTTCGGTAGATCATGCCATGCAGCTAGGGAGACTGTGGTGGGCTGACCCTGGCTGGACACCAAGTGCCCACCCAAGCTGTTCTGTCACTGCCCTGCTCAGTTGGACCGGGGGGAGAACATGTAACGAAAGGCTCGCTGAGATCACTCAGCAGTCCCTGGAAACATTCAAGGTTGGGTTCGACAGGGCTCTGAGCAACCTGGTCTAGTTGAAGATGTCCCTGCTCATGTCAGGGCATTTGGACTAGATGACCTTTAAAGGTCCTTTCCAACCCAAACTATTTTTGATTCCATGATTCTCTCTCCCATAACCTTCCTGTACGAGGTGCTGTGGTTCAGGAAAGGAGGTTGCCTTTCACAGGCATCAGTGTCTTTTCTTTCTGGGACAGCAGAGTCCCAAGAGAGAGTCCCTTGCTTACTCAGTGCTGCTTATCCACACTCAGCTCCAACAGCTACTACATGCAAGTCACGTACTTCTTCACGGCATATCACCACCCATCAAGTAGCAGAAGCTTTGTATCTGGCACGTCTGTTGCTTCTGGTGGTGTGTGAGATGTCTTGCACGGTGCAGACTGCTCTCTGCCTTGTGGCAGCTGAAGGAAACAAAAATAGACCTGGCCTCAGGTGAACTAGGCGTATGTGTAGGTGTTGCCACGTGCAGGCTTATAACTGGTGAAGGTGACAGTGGGAAGGAAAAAGACCGTGTTGGTGCAGCAAGTACTTTTCTGCCAGGCTTTTGGCTTTAACATAACCCTGTTGTCTTGAAGGTACTCATTGGGGGTCCTGTGAATGGAGACTGGGAGGCACAGGGAGAACTGGAAGTAGCACCTAAAGCATTTCTTTCCTTTACTCTAGTTGTGAAGAAGCTGAATGAGCTTTATAAATCCAGTGTATCGTCCTGCCACTGCCTCAACATGAGACTCCAGAGGTTCTTCTTGGACAAACAGAAACTCATGGATCGGATCAACAGCATCACTGCAGAGAAGCTCATCTTCAGCTATGCTGTGCAAATGGTAATAACCGTACAGCGCCTGGGAACAGGGTTGCCACAGAGCCAGTGTTTGGCATTAACGGCTCCTGCTGGTGGCCTTAGCAGAGGCTGAGCGAGGGAGGTGTTCATGCAGCTGAGGGGCCATGCTGCGAAAGCTGTCTTTCGTCTGGGAATAACCCCTTGGCACGGGGTTTTTGCCTGCAGGTGCAGTCTGCGGCCCTGGATGAGATGTTCCACCACAGAGAGGACTGTGCACAGAGGTACCACAAGGCTCTGCTGCTGATGGAGGGGCTCCTGAACATCATCACTGAACAGGGGGACATAGAAAACATCAATAAATGTGAGTGACTTTTTTTTTCCCACTACAACATGTGTTTTTCTAGCTGCATGGATCAGAAATTTCAGTACCCAGTGCCTATTTTCCCTTTGGCTACATCTTGGTGGACATAGCAGAGGTCTCTTGGCTTGTTACAGCTCCTCACAGCCTGGCCTCTTCCTTTCCCAGTGGGAAAACTGTTAGAAATGCAGGTCCCTGTTCTGAGCCATATTTTGAGTGCTTCCCGTGCAGAGTGGTTGCCAGGGCTTTGTTGGAGCGTTTGATGTGTGAAAGAACTTGCTGAAGGAAGTGGTTTGGCAACAGCAGGGGCCTGGGTTTGGTCTCCAGCCAGAACCATCCCTCTGACTGCACAGAGCACTTGGGAACATGGAACTGCAGCGGCTGTCGGGCAGAGATGGTGGATCAAGCACAGCCAGGGCTCCTTCCAGCACATCCTCTGAAACACGACTGCTTGCCTGTCTGGTTCCCCAGCCCCAGGCCTGGCTGAGAGGACAGCGGACACATATTTTTCTCATCAGCTAGAGCTTGCTGTAGCAGTGAAAGCTGAACTCTATAGCTACTTGCTATCATTTGGCGGCTTCTCCCAGGGACAGATGGACCCCTCTGTCTGCTGCTCCAAGCTGTCGCCTCTCTCGCGCTCTCCCTTTGTTGTGAGGGGTGTTACTCTCTACTGCTGCAGGCTCCGCATCTAACACACATGGAGTGGAAAGGATTGACCTTGCTTGCTCTGAGTGCACTTCCCTTGCCCTTGTGGCTGGGGTTTGATCACCTCTGTCATCCCCCTCTACAGGAGGCGGGCAGAGGGGATGGGGGATAGCCATCGGCTGTTAGGGCAGCTTGCCTTGGCCTCGGTTCCGCTCCGTCACAGCTAAGCCAGCCCATCCGCGGCAGCTCCGACGGCTGAAGGGAAGGGGCACAGCGGGCAAACCATGCCAGTCCCCTCCGCCGGCTACTGACTGCGCTTCTTGGGCCGGTGCCCAGAGTGCTGCCAGGCTGCTCTAGTCCGTGCAGGCAGAGCTCTCGGGTAGGTAATGAGAGAAGAGATTTGGGGCTCACAGGCAATCAGTTAGGTAATTATCACCAACTTTCACAGTTGACATGAGGCTTACTGAAGGAGAGCAAAGGGAGACTGGCAGGTTCTGTGTGGTACTGGAAGGCTAAGTGAATAGGGAATACTAAGTAGTTCCTATTGTACCATTTCTTACCAAACCTAAATTGCGTCTTTTGTCCAGAGATGCACTTAATAGATCTAACAGATTTCTTTTCCCAGTTGATATCCTGATGCTCCCTGTTTTACCCTATGTTCCAGCTTCCTGATTGAGCTGTTCTCTAGTAGGCTGTAGTGGGTATGCATTTCATATTAGATCTCAGGTATATGATGACTTATTTCTGAAAAGTAGAATGATGAACCTAGAAATACAGCAAGTCTTCCTGTGAGAGGAATGAATTCCACCAATCATTTAGTTTTTGAGAGAGTCTTAGGCTCAGGCAATGAGAATCCGGCACTGACAGTGCTGGGCTCAGTCTCTCTGTTGTAAGCCATGACAAATGGCAGTGGAGACCTTTGAGTCATCCTGCCTGCTGGTGAAAGCCGCTCCAATAACTAAAAGTGAATAAATCGTTCCTGGTGGACAGCGGTTCTTGATACCTCTGTCAGAACTGCTGCCTCCCGGATTTCATTGTTGGATCTCTGATTATTCAACCCTTCAACCTGTCCCTTCCCAGCATGGTGGTTGTGGTCAGGTCCTCAGCTAGTCTAAATCGGTACCCGGTAAGGATTCTTGAAGGGCTGCTTAGATTTGCTGAAGTTCTGCCTTTTTTTTTTTACCCTTCACTCTCCAGCATGTTTTGGTAGTCTTTATATTGCCAGGAAAATCAGAAGTTGATTTCTTTTGTTGTTGTTTTTTTCTCTCCCAGGTAAACTGTGCATCGAACGCAGGCTGTCAGCTCTGCTGTCGGGGTTCTGTGCCTGATTTCAGCGTTGTTGTTCTTCACGCACCTCGCCCCAGCTGATCGCTTTGTTTCCAGCGGCCTGCTGCTGTGGTGGGAAACGATTCTGGCAGTAGGAGACCTGGAGGATGAACTGCTCAATGTTTTGTCTTCTGACGTTTTGGGAAGTTGTTCCACAGACTCGGATTCCTTTGTGGGGACGTGTGACTGCAGCAAGCACAAATACTTCCCTGCCCAAAGGCCTGGGCGAAGGCATAGCCGATGTGGAAAGGTTCCCTCGTTGGCAGGGGGGATGAAGGATAGAGGTCTGCTTCTTCTCAGCACTTTGAAGGACAAGACTGCTGCCTATCCCTCTTGCTTAAGAACAGGGTATTCCAGTGCTCTGTCCATTGCAGGCAATGGATGTGCTGAAACTGCTGGCTTCAGTTAGCGTTGGAGGGTGTCATTCAGAAATCAAGGCCAGTTTGTGTACTTTCCCCTACCCAGCTGATAGCCAGGCATCTTCCAGCTTCCCAGCAAGCCGAGGCTCCCCTCCTTTCTCCCCTTTGTCCCTTCTCGTATGTGTTTATGCCTCGGAGTGCTCACTGAACGGCAGAGAGGAGGGAGTCAGCTCCCTTTTGCCCAAGCGTTGCCGAAGTGGCTCCCACCTCCACAGACTTGCCACACGAGGCAGAGGACGTGCTGCTGCGGGGGGAGTTCGCATCTCCCACGGCTGCCGTCTGGACTTGCCTCTCCGCCTGGATGGGCGTGGAAAGAGACTCTGCAGGGAACAGGAGGATGACAGAAGGTGTAACGCTCCTGTGTTTGTAAGCCAAAATGAATCCGTTCCTCCCTTGGTCCCCAAGCTCAGCGGGATTAATGTGAAAGATTCCTGGCCTGTCAGTACATATCTACCAGGAGGAAGCACTGGCACTGTCCTGCTTTCAGCTGTTGGCTCGATAACCCCTTTCCCGGAGCCCTCACCCACCCCAAACTGACAACACTAGCTTTGTGAATCAAAGGAGCACTTTACACACTATGGGAACTTTGAGAAGTTGACTTGGCATCACACAACAACCCAGGAACATCATGACTGTTAGGAATGCTGTTCTTTTTATTCCTTTCCTTGCTTCCTGGTTGTTTTATTGCACTACGTGTGTGCGTATATTAATATGTATTCCTAAGGGTGAATATATATTGATATATATATATATGGTTTGTGTGTAACTGTATGTATTTAACTGTACTGTATCTTGTGAGTGTGACGCAAAAAGCACTGCAGAGTCTGTGCTGTTCCTCCTCCACACCAGGTGAAGCTGACTTGCAGTCTGGCAGTACCAAGATTTGTTTTGTTTTGGGTTTTTTTATTTAAATGTTCTTTTAAGGACAGTCAGTATAAAGCTCCATGCTTTTTAAGAGCTCAAGAACAGGCGTTAAGATCCTACACACTTACAATTGGAAATGCGTTTTTTAAGAAGTTTTATTTGCTGCTTCATTTTTTTTTTTATAAAGAAATCTCGTAGTGTTCAGTTTTATGTTCAGCATTTCTTTTAAGGAGACTCAGCAGCCAAATGAGACTGCGGGTGCGAGTGGTTCGAGTTCTGGTTGAGGCTTTGGATGCTGTGAGCATGTGCGTGAGAGGATACCTGGCTGCCTTTCTGTCTGTCTGCGTGCGCATGTGTGTGTCTTAATTTATCAGAGTCGTGGCAGTATTTGTTAGCGCTGGGCAGAAAAGTATCTTTGAAAGCAACTCGAAACCTCAGGCTTTGTTTTTGGGGATCTAAAAATATTTTTGCACATGGTGGTTAAGTCCTCATTGCTTTTTTTTCTCTCAATATTGGCACGTTCAAATGATACTTTACAAGCGTTTCAGGAGCAACTTAATTGACTTTGGAGCTGGCATCATCTTTGGCAACACGGGTGTTTCTGATCACAGAGCAGAAATGCCGATGAAGAAATTTTAAAATATTTCCGATTGCCCCAAACAGGGAAGTTTAAGTGTAGCTTTCACAAATGCTTCAGTATCTGTTACATCGTACGTTCACAGCCTGCTGCTTCTGTGGCTGTTTCTGCTTGTGCCTGGGAAAAAAAGGAAAAAAGGAAAAAAAAGACACGACAAACTAACCAGCCACCCCCCCAGCCTGTGGCCAGAAATGCCGAGGAGACCCAGACTGCTTCCGAGAGGATCTTGCCAGTTCTGCAAGGGCTATGCTGCAGGTGGGAGCAGTGCACCAGCGGCAGCACGAAAGCGCTGAGCCAGGACTGACTCTGCAATACAGACACCTGCGACGCGGCCCCCGGCCACCCCCGGGGTGCACGGGCAGCCTCCGGCCACGGGGCAGCACAGCCCGGGATCCGCGGCCGCGCCGCAGGTGTCACGATCCGTGTGTGTGGCAAGCTCAGCACTAACCTTCCAGCTGTACTTAATTACTTGAATGTATCAAAATTGTCCACATTCAATGTATACAAGTATATATTGCTCCAAAAAATTGTGGTTTACAGACCTACAACCAATATATATGTATGTGTTTGTGTATATACATACAAGGATGTGTGTGTGTGTGTATGTATATAGATACACACACAAACACAAACGTGTATATATGTTTCCTCTCAATACTTGAAACTTAGCCACTGTGCTTGAATTACAAAAACATAAACAACCACATTTAAAAAAACCCCAAAAATAGGGGGGAGAGGGGGGAAGAAAAAAAAAACAAATCAGACCGGTGATTTATTTTGCCATCATTTTGGTGACTTTCTTTTATATCTAACTGCATGTAGCGTGAAACCAACTTTTTTGGTGAAAAATATTTATTGCTTTGTAGACAATAAGTTACAAAAAAAAAAAAAAAGAAAAAAGGAAAAAAATAAAACGCCCCAAAACTGATCCCCCCCAACCATTGTTGAAGTTGCTAGTGTAGTCCACCCGCTATTGTCATGGCTTTGGTACTGTTGCAGCGTTTGTGTCTAGCGTCTTTAATAGATTTCAAGAAACCTCAGTCTAATAAACACGTATCTTCAGGTTTGTGAGAGCGTATGATGATGTTCTTTATAAGGTAATGCTTGATACTTTGTCAACATTTTTTATTTGTGTTTTGTGTGACTTTTTTTTTTTTTGCTTTAAATTGTACAACACCAATTTAAGAAAATAAAATTGATTTGAAATTGTTAGCGGCCTGTTTTCCATACTTTGTAATTCCAGTTTAGCGCAGTCTCCGAGTAAGGTGTCTCGTGTTTGGTTCTACCAGGCTTTTCAGGTGAACAAGCGCAGTTCCCCCCTTTCCACAGAGGGTGAAGCTTGGGACCAGAGAAGCTGCATTGCCTAAAGCCACAGACGATGCCTTTGAATTAGGAAAAGCTGAAGGTGGTTTCAGAGCGGGAGCTGCCGTCCTGGTTCATCTCTCCGTACTGCCTGGCTGTGCTCTCCTGCTGCTGCGGTCAGAAACTGTCCCCAGCTGATGGCAGACCCCATCCCCTCCTGCCGGGTGCCCCAGTCTCGCCGGTGCGGGGGGCGAGGGCCCTGCGGGAGGGTGAGCGCGGGTTGGTGGGGGAGGTTTTGTGACACCTGGTAGTTACGCGTTATTTTGAACTCTGGCGCTTTTTTTAATCAATAGCTGGGAAGCTTGCTGCTGGAGGAGAGAGGTACGGCAAAGATGAAGTGCGAGTATAGCGGTAAGATTTGGGTATTTTTCATGAAGCGTAACTGTTTTCCTGCCGTGTCGCCATTTGTTGCTTGAACAGTGGCACGTGGCTTTGCTTTCTCTTGCCCACCTCGCTATGCAAAAAATCACTGAACAGGGCAAAAAGTGTAACGAGGATGCTGTGAGCGTTGGTCCAGGCAAGACGGGTGGTTGCAGCCCCTGCTCGCTCTGGATCGGCAGACTCGAGGACGAAAAGCTCAGCTCTGCCTCTGGGACCTGAGAGAGATCCCGAGTGAATTAGTCTGGTCCTTCCACTCGTACAGAAACTTAAGCAACAGAGGTGTAAGCTTTCAGGAGCCAACACCGTCATTCCACCAAATGTTTCCCAAAACTCTGCTTCCAGACCATGGGGGTTACTGTTGGCTGGGAGCATCGCGGGGAGAGTCAGTCCTGCCCACCAGCCCCTGTGTGACCCAGTTACTGGACTGTACTGGGTTTTTGTAAGAAAAGTTTCTATCTAAAAATCTTAATTTACTGTGAGCTGGAATTGTTTTTTCTTGCTTAGCCCTATTTATAACTTCTGTTTCCTGCCGCTGCCTTTCCCACCGCAGGGAACTGGACACCACGCGCTCGCTCCGTGAGAGCGGTCCTGCCTGGAAACGCCGGGCCCTGGGCGCTTACGCCGACTCGCGCAGGGAGAGTCGGTTCCTTTTCCCCGCGGAGTTGCCCCACGCTGCAGCGGCATCGGTGTTGGGGCCAACTCTGAGAAGCCGCACTTCAGCGTGGTGAAAACATCGTGGTCGGCCAACCTGGGCAAGAGGCTAGGGCAGGAAAGCTGGTGGGAGCTGAATCAGTATAAATGCTGGTGTTGCTTGAAGTGTGGCAGCTCAGCACACTTGGATCTTTGTTTCTGGGTGGGGTTGTAGGGTTTTTTGTTCATTTTTTTAATATGTAAAGTCACCTTTTGTGGAAAACCTTTGTCTGTGTTTCTTCCCTTGTGGCATGGGATCGTGCTGAAGAATATGTATACAAGCTTCTGGCACTGAGGCTAAAGGAGGGGGTTTCTTCTGAAGCTGCCATGAAGAAGTTTGAAGGTTCGTGAGGAAAACCCATGGCCAAATGAAAGATGGACCTCTGTGTGTCACATGCCCGTGTGGGTAGAGAATGCTCTGCTGAATCCATGGGATCCTTTCATAGGCAGCAGAGCAAAGGGGGAAAGTGCTGGCTGGGAAGACTTAAACAACAGAAATAAAGAGTCTCCTCTAAAAGCACTAAACCACGGGGCCCGAGCGGTTTAAAAGCACCAGTGAAAATTGCACAACTTTCTAGATGTTGACTGTGACTTTACGTCGCTGTTGATTCGAAGAGAAAACAAACCCGAGCAATTCTTCCAGGGCATTTGGCTTCATTCCCACATTTTATATTTAGTTGCTGGTAAGTACGTCAGAAAAAACGTGCTCATTCAACTCGGAAAGATCAGAGGTGATTTAGTGACATCAAGGAAGCAGAAATGGGCGGGGGTGTGTTGGACCAAGGCAATACAAAGATGAAGTATTACGCTTCCACTTACCAGCTCTTTTAAAGCTCTATTTCACGAGGAGTTAACTCCTTCTCTCCCGAGGGGGGCAAGCGGCCGTGGACGTTGTAGTGGCTGGAGGAGGGAAAGGGCTGCGTGGCGGGGAGGCGATGCGCTACCACAGCTCTGCCGGGCAGGAGCTAATGCTCTCCAGACAAATTCTAGCGGCTGGATTTATTGGAGTTTATTACCATAAATGTAGTGCTGATGACGGGTGCCGTTCTCTGGATGAAGAATGGCACATAGCGCGGGGATACAAACTTCCCTGGGACATTCCTGTTCTAAAAGCAGCATTTTTAGGGACAATAGAGTCAGAAC